TCACAGAGATCTGCCTACCTCTGCCTCCCAAGTGCTAGGATTAAGGGCGTGCGCCACCACACCCAACCTAAATAAATAATTTTATTTTAAAAAAATTTTTAAATAAAGTAATGATGCGGGAAAAATCTGTACATGTTCAGTATAGATGCAATTTTTTTCTTAATATTTTTCTCTCCAAGGTTGGCTGCATTACTGGATGTAGACCTTGCACATACAAACCTCATGTGGGGCGGGCTGTATACTTTTAATGCAGTAGCTCTTGAACTTGAATGAGCCCCAGGACAGCCTGAGGGTGGGGTAACACAGACAGCTGGGCCTGTCCCTAGTTTCTGACTCAATAGATCTGAAGAGGGATTTTTCCTCACCATCCCCATCCCCTTCCCCTTCCCCTTCCACTTTCCCTCCTCCTCCCAATCCGTCTCCCCCTCCCCCTACATTTTGACACAGGGTCTTGCTATGTGTCCCAGACTGGCCTAGAATTCATGATCTTCCTGCCTTAGCCTCCCCAGTAGTGGGATTTTGTAGTACCACAAGGCCTGGCTGAGCATTTCATTTTTAACAAGTCTCAAGAAATGGTTATGATAATGGCCCAGGGACCACACTTACTTTCTAGAAAGAGCAGGAAATTATCTCCCAGTTCTCAGCTTGAAGCACAGATGGAGCCAGGCTATTGCTCGAATCTTCCCAAGGGAAAAAAGCAGTGAACTTGGCAAAAACAGTGAACCTGGATGCTATCAAATGCCTGATCCCCCAAAGGCTATTTCCGTTTGGTTCTGAGGTCCCAGGAAATGCTAATTTGTGGGGAAGTCATGACTGTGCCCCATAAGGTGGCACCGGGAGGGGACCGTAGGATCTTAACCATATCCTTGCCCATCAGGTCTGCATCGAGTACTTCAAAGACACCAATGTACTGTTCTTCGGGGGGCTCATGGTGGCCATCACCGTGGAGCACTGGAACTTGCACAAGCGCATCGCCCTGTGTGTGCTCCTTATCATCGGGGTGCGGCCTGCCCTGTGAGTCCCTGGAGAGCCAGGGTGGGAGAACCTGGATGGCGGCCATCAGGGCATCCTGTGCTTGCCAGAAAGCTGGACTATTGGTGTCTGTCTGTCTGCCTCTAGGCTGATTCTGGGCTTCATGGTGGTCACGGCCTTCCTCTCCATGTGGATCAGTAACACAGCCACAACAGCTATGATGTTGCCCATCGCGCATGCAGTCCTGGAGCAGCTGCATGGCTCCCACAAAGATGTGGAGGGGGGCAATGAGAACCCCACCTTTGAGCTGCAGGAAGCAAGTCCTCAGAAGGAAGGGGCCAAGCTTGGTAAGAGACATGAACAGACCTTGCCCCAACCCCTCAGTGCTTGGGGAAGATCTGCCACGCCTTCTATTCCCAAGGGTGGTCATCTTGGAACCCACCGGGAGAGGAGAGGAAGGCAAATGGTCAACTTCTTCAGGACTTCCTGGGACTTTCCAAGTTTTTAAATGCCACGGGAGCTGGCAAGCTAGCTCAGAGAGTTAAGGTGCCAACCACCAAATCTAAAGCCTGAGTTTGATCCCTGGAAACACATGAGGGAAGAAGAGAACCAAGTTCTACAAATTGTCCTCTACACCGTGACATGTTCATGTGTACACACACACAAAATAATTAATAAAAAGATTAAGAAGATTTTTAAATGCCAAGATTCATGGGCTAGGGAGATAGCTCAGTGGTAGAGTACTTATCTAACGTGCATGAGAGATTCTATCCTTACAACCACAAAATAACAACAATAACAATAATAATAATAATAGTAGTAATAAATAACAATAAAGCCAAGACTTGTCTGCTATAAACACATTCAGGCCTAGCAATCCAAGAGCTTGGTGAGAAGTAAGCTGGAGTCTAGGGAGATAGACAGGGTTCTGGGCTCTATTCCTCCTGTCTTGTCTGGATAATCATTGGCTTCCCTTCTCTGGACCTCAGTTTCCCTCTCTCAAGAGAGGCTGAACCAGATAGTATCTGAGGATAGCCCAAGGCTCAAAAAAATGCTGGGTCCACTCAGACCTGGGGACAGCCTCTGTCTTCCTGGTAGCTCAGGTCTGAGCTGTTCACCGGCAAGAGGCCATAGAGGCCATAAGCCCAACCAAGCTCCTTTGTGCTAGTCTTGCACCTGTCCCCACCTGAGCTTTCCCTTGTTCACAGATAATGGACAGGTCATACGGACTTCTTCAGAGTCAAAGGTTCAGAAGACCCAGGAGCACCTTCGCTTAAGCCAGGGCTTGAGCCTGTGCATCTGCTACTCGGCCAGCATCGGAGGCATTGCCACCCTGACGGGTACCACACCCAACCTGGTGCTGCAAGGCCAGGTCAACTCGTGAGTGATGGAGATGGGAGGGGCATGATGAGTGGGAGAAAGGGGTATTTACACTCTCACTGAGGGTACAACTGGGACCAAGTAGTTGCTGGGACAATGTCACACAGCAGCCCATGTCACTTTCATCAGGCTCTTCCCCCAAAATGGCAACGTAGTGAACTTTGCCTCCTGGTTTGGCTTTGCCTTCCCCACCATGGTCATCTTGCTGCTGCTGGCCTGGGTATGGCTACAGATCCTCTTCCTGGGCTTCAAGTAAGTGGTGTCATAGGTAAGAGAAGCTCTCTGCACCCCTGGGAGCTTCTAGTTTGTCCAAACATGGAAGGGGACCGTGCTATGAGAGGTCCTCTCCCTTTGGGTGCTTGGCCTCCCACATGAGGGATTACTGAATGGAGAACATTGCCCCTCTTAGCAGATGGGCAAACTGGGCCGGAGGAATGGGAATACTAGGATTGAAAGTCATGTCTCACATGTGCTTGTGTATGTCCATGTTCATGTGTGTGCATGTGTGCAGGCAGGTAGGTGTATGTGCACATGTATGTGTGAGTGCGTATGGAGTCCAGAGGTTGACGCTAGGTGTCTTCCTCAATTGTTCTCCCTCTTATTTTTTGAGACAGGGTCTCTCAGTGAATCTGGAGTTCACCAATTAGGCTACACTGGCTGGCCTGTGAGTCTCAGGGATCCTCCTGTCTCTCCCTCCCTAGCACTGAAATTATAGGCATGTACCACTGTGCCCAGTTTTTGTTTGTTTTGTTTTGTTTTGATACATGGTCTCACTGTGTATCTCTGACTGTCCAAGAAGTAACTGACTATGTAGACCAGGCTGGCCTCAAACTCACAGAGATCTGCCTGCCTATGCCTCCCTAGTGCTGGGATTAAAGATGTGTGCCACCATGCCTGACAATATGCCTATTTTTTTCCCATATATATGAGTGCTAGGGACCGAATTCAGGTCTTCATGCTTACATGGCAAGTATGTTACTGACTGAACCATCTCCCCATCCCTAGAAACCACATCTCCTGATGTCCAGGTCAGGCCCCTCCCTTAATACTCCACAGTTGTTGGATAAGTGCTCAGGGATTCCACACTGAGTAGAGTCAGTCAGAGAAGAATTTAAGGTATTCCTTCTTTTTTTAATTAATTTTTTTAAATTTTATGTGTATGCATGTATTGCCTGCATATAGGTAAGTGCACCCATGTCATGCAATGCCCGCGGAGGCTAGAAGTGGCTATCGGATCCCCTGGGACTGGAGTTTCGGACAGTTGTTAGCTGCCATGTGGGTGCTGGGATTCGAACCTGGTCCTCTGCAAGAACAACCAGTGTTCTTGACCACTGAGCCATCTCTCCAGCTCCTGAGGTATTCCTTCTGTATGAGTGGCCATGTGCTGGACACAAAATCCCAGAAGACCTTAGGCAAAGTCTCTATCCTTGCCACTCCCCAAATGATAGGTAATGATAAAGTGAGGGTCATGAGAGAAGGGAGCACAGGCAGTGGATATTCTAGAAAGCTCCTGGAGGTAATATCTGAGTTGACATTTACAGGACTGGAAGTCAGATGGGAAGAAAAGTGGGTGAAGGCATAGAAAATTGGGAGCCCCAGGCAGCAGAGCAGGCATGAAGCACGGAGGCTACAAAGACCCAGATGTGTCTGGGGAACTCTGGTTCTGGAGAGCTGAAGCACAAAAAAGAAAAAGGGAGTGTCCTGATATGAAGTGCAAGAGGCAGTCAGGAAGGACCACCGAAGACCTCGAGTGTGTCACATAGAGTTCAGACCTTGTCCTGAGCCCAAGACCAGTGTGCAGATTTCATTTCTACTTGTAACCCTGAATCACTCATCATCAGTGTTCCGAGCTCTATGTTGAAAATCAGTGGATAGCCAGATATGGTGGCACAGACCTGTCATCTCAGCACTCGGGAGGCAGAGGCAGGTGGATCTCTGTGAGTTCAAAGTCAGCCTGGTCTACATAGCAAGTTCCAGGCCAGTTGGGACTACAGGGAGACCATGTCTCAAAAACACACACAGAGAGAAAGAGACAGAGACAGAGAGAGAGAGAGAGAGAGAGAGAGAGAGAGACTTTGCTAAGGCTCAATTGAAATCAAGTCTGTGATGGATTAGTGATGTCTACTGTGCACACAAACCCCAGAGTGGTGGTCTAAAAGTTATTGTGGTGTGAGTCATTTTTCTACCCTTTCCAGACAGAGAGGCGCCATCACAAATTGTTAAGCTGTACTTTGGACAAATCACTTGGGCAGATGCAAGGAGATTGGATTAAGGTTTGAACTGGCGTGAGGCAAGGCAGTAGTTGATGAGATCAGCACAGCATTGGGTACCATGAGGAGTCAAAGATGTGTGAAGCATGGTCTTTGCCCCTGAGGAACTCACAGACCAGCAGGGAATGAGATTTACTCAAGTGTGAAGTTAAATGCCAATATGAGTTAAGGAAACAACACAGGAGGGTAGGTATAACCTTCTGAACCTCTGAGGGCTATGCAGATGTGGTTGAGGCTGTCTGGGGATAGCCTCCTGCAGGCAGGAGGGAAGGAAGAGGTTCCTGAAAGGCTGCTGAAAAGGGGATCTGAGAACCAGGAGGCTTAGGGTCCCTAGTTCTTACCCTGGGCAGAAGAGGGCTCAGCACAGAGACCTGTCAGAGGAAGAACAATGATACAGCAGGTGGATCAGGGCTGAGTTGGAAAAACCCAGTTTCCTTGCTGAAAAAGAGTCATGATCCCATACCAGGCATGGTAGTACATTCCCATAATCCCAGCATTCAGGAGGCTGAGACAAGAAGATCAAGAGATGGAGGTCAGCCTGGGCTCAAAAATCTAAAACAAAAGATGTAGTTGGGTTGGTAGAGTGCTTGCCTTGCATACGTGAAGCTCTGGGTTCAATTCCCAGTCCCACATAACCTGGGCATAGGGATGCACATCTGTAATCCCCATACTTGGGAGGCAGAGACAGAAGAATCAGTAGTTCAAAGTCACCCTCTGCTACATAGCAAGTTCAACATTAGCTTGGACTATATGATCTTGTCAGAGAGAGAGAGAGAGAGAGAGAGAGCTATGCAGTCCCTCTGGATTTTGGACTCCTCTCTGGCCATGAATAGAGAGCCAGGACCTTAGGGCCTGACCTTTATGATGACCTCTGTAGGCCAGTCTTTACATCAGCATTTAGCACCTTGACACCTACCTGGGGCTGGCGCTTTACATACTGGTCCTGCCCCTGCCTGCAGCTTCCGGAAGAACTTTGGCTTTGGAGAAGGGGAAGAGGAGCGAAAACAAGCAGCCTTTCAGGTCATCAAGACCCAGCACAAGCTGCTGGGCCCCATGAGCTTTGCAGAAAAGGCTGTCACCATCCTCTTTATCATCCTGGTGATACTCTGGTTTACTCGGGAGCCAGGCTTCTTCCAAGGCTGGGGTAACGTGGCTTTTGCTGATGAAAATGGGCAAAGGTGAGAGCTACTGGGTAGAAGAGTGGGGGGGGGGCATGCCTGGGGCTCAGCACTGGGAAGGAGAGAGGAACAGGACACCTCTCTTGGGGGTACTCACCAGGCATGTGGATGGAGGGGACCCTTCTCTGTCACCCACTCAGTCTGCCTTCCCTGACCCTCCCACAGCATGGCATCTGATGGGACAGTGGCCATCTTCATCAGTGTAATCATGTTCATTGTGCCCTCCAAGATCCCAGGACTAACTCAGTTCCCAGGTAAGTACCTGGTCTAGGGCCAGGAAAGGTCTCTGCAGCTCCTTAAGGCATGTAGCCAACTGCCTTCCACCACACCTGGCAGGAGTTGAAAAAGCTAGAGAGGTTGAGGTGACCTGAGAAGGACAAAGGGACATAGTTAAAGTATACATAGAACCGAGAGCCTCAGGGACCAGCTTTTTCCTATGTTAAGTTCTGATAGGAACCTACTCAGGGAGGCCTCAAGTGGAGGGGAGGGGAGGCCTATTGGCTTTTGGTGACCATCCTTCTCTGCTTGAGGAGTAGAAAAACCAGGGAAGCTGAAGCCTCCTCCTGCCCTCCTCACCTGGAAGATAGTGAATGAGAAGATGCCCTGGAATATCGTGATCTTGCTGGGTGGGGGCTTTGCCCTGGCCAAAGGCAGTGAGGTGAGAGCTTGTCTGAGGCAACCTTGGGACAGCCCTAAAGACCATGCTCCCGTGGAGTTCTCAGAGTCCAAGTCGCATTCCACACCAGCCCCTCTTGCTGAGGAATGCTGTTAAGCCTGAGCACTCACAGGGCCAGCATTGGCTTGATGCAGTGTTTGATGCAGCCTCCAGGGGGCGCCACGATCACAGCCCTTTGGGGACCAGAGCATCCTTCCCCAGAGTCTCTAACCAAAAGAGCTGAAATTCCTGTCACTGCAGTCCTGGGCCTCATACTGGCTAAGCTGGGGCAACAGTTGGCACACTAGACTCCTGGGTCTATGGTTAGTTCATCCACAGACTGTGCCAGGAACCTTGCTTGGTGTGAAGAAGGCAGGAACCTAGCTCCCCGTCAGCAACATATCTCACAGCCTGGTGTGAAGGTGGACAGGGCCAGCCAGACCTAGGAGCTCTTCCCACCCTAGGAGCTGCCTCCTTCCAACCTCTTCAGAGCCCTGCCCCCACTCCCCCTCCCTGCCAATGTCCCCTCAGTCCCAACCCTCAGCAGGGAGAGGATGCAGATGATTCAAGGGCTTCCTGAGAGGGGTCAAGAAGGCAGGGGTAAAAGGAGGCAAATGTCATCACTCCCACCAAACCCCAGATTTCTCACTAGATCCTCCTCCCCACACCCTGCTAGTCCCTAAGAGCAGCAGGGATTCCCCTTGGTGCTAGCTGGGTACTGTCTTCCCTCAGCACTGTTTGACTTAAAAGCTACATGGAGGTGTGGGCAGGAGCAGGGCCTCCCAGAGCCCTAGCCAAGGACTTGGGGGCCCCAGGCAGCTCTGCCTCACAGGCATCACCTTCTTCTGCCCTCAGAAATCAGGTCTGTCTGAGTGGTTAGGAGACAAACTGACCCCGCTTCAGCACATACCACCTCCGGCCACCGCCCTCATCCTCTGCCTGCTGATTGCCACCTTCACTGAGTGTACTAGCAACGTGGCCACCACTACACTCTTTCTACCCATCCTAGCATCCATGGTGAGCCGACACTGCAGCCTCTTCCAGGCAGCCCTCCTGTCTGTTCTTGAACCCCCACAGGTCAGAGTGGTTGGTCTGCACCTCCTCTCCTGGCTGGAGAGGACCCCCAAAGCCTCCCTCTTCTCCAGATCTTGAGCCCTTGGATCTCAAGGCCTTCTGGCCCCTGAGTCACCCATCCTGGTGACATCATCCCTTGAATATCCCAGTGGGGCTGGTTGGAGGCCTCACCCACCTCCCCACCCCAGTCCCTGTCCTGGTCATTCCAGAGGTGATGGAGGTAAAATTGCTCCCTAGAGCGTCTCCAGCCCCTTCCTCCACAGGTGTGTTCCCACAGCCTTTGATGACACCACCTGAGCCCCTTTGAGATCCTTTTTATGGGCCCCACCCCTCACTACACCCCACAGGGCAGGGCTGCACAGTCATCCCCTCCAGAGAGGTCAGGGGGCCCTCCCCAGGTCACCCAGGGTGCTCTGCACAGGGGCTGCGTTCATGACCTGAAGCTGTGAGAGAGCAGGGCAGTCCCTCAAAGGGCAGACACAGCAGAACTGGATGGGGCCTTGCCTCACACTAGGCTTAGGCTCAGATCCACTCTGCCCATTGTCCCCTTCCAGGCTCAGGCCATCTGCCTTCACCCTCTCTACGTCATGCTACCCTGCACCCTGGCGGCCTCCCTGGCCTTCATGCTGCCTGTGGCCACTCCACCAAACGCCATCGTCTTCTCCTTTGGGGGTCTCAAAGTGTCTGATATGGTGAGTGGTGGGAAAGCCAGAATGTTTCAGACATCCACCTGCCCTGTCTTTCCATCTTGGGGGAATCACAGAATAGCTGAAAGACACCAGTTCTAAGAGAAAAGCTGGCTGGAGGCCTCACCCAGGTGTGTGAGGGAACAGTGGGGGTGGGGGTGGGGGGTTAAAACATCTCAATGTTCTGCAGCTCCAGGCCATAAATGGGAGAGGGGACATGAGGAAGGTCGGGGTGGGGGTGGGGGGTTCCAGCATCCCCACTCAAAGATATGAACTAAGAGAAAACAAGGCCCAGGGTCCCAGAAGCTCCCAAGGAGCCCCACCTCCCCTGTTATCACTGACAGTCAAGTAAATGGTAAGGGCATTGCTAGCACTGCAGGTTGGACTAAAAGCAGAACTTCCGAGGGAGGGGTGCTGATGGAAGGGGTCATGAGCACCCCTGACAGCTGAGGCGTGTGCTGCTGGTTCACGCTGGCTTTCCTCACACCAGGCCCGCGCTGGATTCCTGCTCAACATCATCGGGGTGCTGGTTATCACACTGGCTGTCAACAGCTGGAGCATTCCCATCTTTCACCTGGACACATTCCCCACCTGGGCCCACTCCAACACAAGCCAATGCCTTCTCAGCTCACCCAACTCCACTACACCAGGTCCCTAGACCCGAGTGCAGCTCGGCTCTGCTGGGGAAAACCCACCCGTACCCGTGCCACTCCGCGGAACCAGAAGGGGGCACCCCAAGTGCCAAGCCCTGGGCTAGAGATGAAGAGACGGCCGGCGCTTGTGCAATCGTGTGTTCGTGTGTTCCCAGAGAACGTGTGTGAGCTCGCTCTCCAGAGTGCATAGCAAGATGCGCGTGTTACAGTGTGCACGGACACATGCGCGCACGTGTGCGTGTGCGTGTGCGTGTGCGTGTGTGCGTGTGTGTGTGGTGTGGCCTGAGAGCGCCTGAGCGGCTGTACCCTCCCTCTCTGCCAGCTAGGCCTCTTTGCACTGTATTTATTGAAACTCCGAGTTGGAACTGCCTGGGAGCTGGGCCGGCCGCGGGGTCTGGCTCGGCGCGCCAGGTTCCCCAGCCTTGGAGCTTCGGAAGGCTCCAAGGTCCATTAAAGGCTTTTTCAGTATAGTCCGATGTCTTTCCCGGCCCTCAGGACTGGTCCGATGGCTCGAACTGAAGATGTCGGTGTCCTGCGTGACGACCCCTGGCATTCCTTCCCTCCCCAGGAAAATAGTCGGGCACTCCGTTTGGAGTGGGCGCAGCCACCCAGCAAAGCCGCAGTGACATCACCAGCGGCTAATTGGGAGCTGCCAGTCCCTGCGTGCCTTTGGGAAAACCGGCCTCCCAGTTCCCAGAGCACTCCCAGGCCATTTACATAAAACCCTCTGCCCCTGCCAATTCCTCACCGACCCTTCTTCCAGCTGGAAAAACCGGTCCCGCCAGACCAGAGGAGGCAGGCTGACCCATGCCAGGTGCCCAGAAAGATGGACCCTCATCCAGAACGACAAGCCTGCAGCAAGAGGATGCAGGTTAGACTCGGGAACAGGCGCAAACCAGCCACGGATGGACTTCAGAGTCCAGAACCAGACAACTATGGAGAGTTCTGCCTCCCTACTCACCGTTGCCTGTCCTCTGCCACCCCATGCGGTCCACAAACCTCAGAGCTTTCATGTATCTGGCAAAGGTGGGGTGGAGTGAGGAAGGATGATGGTACATCACCATCCATTCCAGGATTCACACCTCTTCCAGTCTGGAAGCCCACCTCCGTGATTGTCCCACATCGGTCATGTGGATTGGTGCCATAGTAGCCTAGGGCTCATTTTGGAAATTTTTTAGTCTCACCCAGTTCCTTCCTGCTGCAGAGGGAGAGAAAAGAAGTGTTTTACCGTCAGCCTGTGTTCAAATGACAAAAGGGTACCAGCCGTGAAGAGAGAAAAGATTTCATTCTGATCTCACAGCTGGGATTCACTGTCTTGGCAGAGCTGGGGGCCCATGAGGAGTACAGCCAAGAAGGGGACTACTGCAGAGGGAAGAACATGGTGGTCTCCAGGGGACAGGGATCCTGACATGATCCAAGGGAAGAGAGCTGTGTCAGGCCAGTGGTTCTGCCTGCTCACCGACCCCTGAGGCTGACATTCCTAGTCCATGAAGTATAGCTGTAAATCACAAGAGGACCCCACCAAGGCCTCAGGGGATGGTCCCCCCACAATGAAGTAGGGTGGACTGGGGGACAGTAAAGAAAGATCCTCTGCCACTGTGGGCACCTGCAGCTCAGCCCCTGCTGAGGGAAGTCTTCACAGGGCTCAAGCAACTGTCTTGTTTGTTTGGCTTGCATTTTTTTAAGACAGGGACTCTTTATGCAGCCCAGGCTGGCCCGGGACTCACTATGTAAACCAGGATAACCTTAACTCATGATAATCCCCCTGCCTTACCCTTCTGAGTACTAGGATTACAGGCATGTGCCACCACACCTGGTTGGTGCTTACTCTTCCATCTCCAACTGTTAGCCTTGCTCAGAGGGACAGATGCAGATGCAGGTCATGCTGTCCATCCTAGACTCCACCCTTCCGGGGCAGATGGACACCAGCCAGCCTAGGGTCAGAGGTGGGCCATGCAGGTGCTGTTGCAGGCTTTGCTACTGCAGCCTCCCCCAGCTGCTCAGACATCACCCTCCTCAACAAACCTGGCTGAGGAGGGCCAAGCTGCAGATGAACAGGTGCTTCCTAATCACCATCATTAGCTGGGCAATAAAGCTCCTGGACTGAGCCAGCCTTTGAAGGAAGGGCTCCGGCTCGGGCTCGTCTCTAGGTCCATACAAGCAGCCTAGCCACTACAGCAGATGGATCTGGCCTGCTGGACGAGGGTCAGAGGTCTCCCTGCCACACACCCACATTCCATCCAGGACCCTTCCAGGACAAGAGCAAGGGATCTGGGGGTGTCTCCTGCCTGCCGAATGTGTGCAGTCCTGGGACTCAAGAATTCAAGTTGTAGGGGCTAGATAGATAGCTCAGCGGTTAAGAACACTGGTTGTTCTTGCAGAAGACCCAGGTTCGAATCCCAGCACCCACACTGCAGCTAGTGACTGTCGGTAACTCCAATTCCAGGATATGCGATGGCCTCTTCTGTCCTCCTCGGGCATTGCACGACATAGGTGCGCTTACTTACATGCAGGCATAACACTCATACACATAAAATGAAAATAATAAAACATTTTTTTAAAAAGAATTCAGGTTGTAAAGGAATAGAGAGATGGCTCAGCAGTTAAGAGCACTAACTGCTTTTGAAGAGGACCCAGATTCAAATCCCAGCACCCAAATGGCAGTTAACGACTGTCCGTAACTCCAGTTCCAGGGGATCCAACACCCTCTTCTGTCCTCTGGCGCTGTATAACATGGGTGCACACACATGCAGGCATAACACTCAAACACATAAAAATATAAATAAATAAAATTTTAAAATAATTCAGGTTGTACTGTGGAAAATCAAGAGACTGGAAAACTTGACCACAGTCTGCCTGAGGAGCCATGTCCCCAGTTCTTCACAGGACCTGGCACAGGAAATGTGCAAATGAACAGACATGCTGGAAGAACAAACGACTTCTCCGTGCATAGCAGGACATAAGGTCTTCAAAGCCTCTCTCCAAACTACCTTATGGGCCATGCTATGTGACCATGAGGCAATGTCTTGGCCTCTCTGGCCCAAGAGCATTTTAGTCTCAGCAGATAGGCCCAGATTTCTGAGCCTACTTTGGCAGTTTCCCTGCCCCTGTTCCTGAGACCCTGAGGGGTCTGTTTCTCTGTTTCATACCCCACCCTGCCAACTAGCAACAGCCCCCAGGCAGCCATGATGGCTAGACCACCAGGGCAGCAGTCACTAAGCCTGTCGGAGGAGACACCATCAGTACAGAAAGGAAAGTTTGTTTGGTAGATGGAACCAGGCCCTATTTACCCCAATGTCAAGGTCATTTTGACCCGAAACATTCTAGGGGATCAAGGGCAGGGCCCAGAGTGGGTCCCTTGGGAGCTGTCTGTCTCCCAGTCTCTGGAGAAGGGTGCTGCTGCCAGAGGATAGGGAAAGTGGCTTCAGCAGGGTAGCAACCTAGAGGGGCACCCTTACAACCTCCCCCAGCTTGCTGGAGGCAGGACGCCTAGAGTGAACCCATCCTCAACCTGGGGACACAGGTGTGGTGCAGAACAAGGAGGGGGTGCACAATCCTGCTGGAAAGACTGTGACAAGAGCTCTTGAGGGTGGGTGACCCCAGATAGGTACGTTCAGAGCAACATACTCCTGAGCCCACGCAGAACACCCCCAAAACACTTATACACATGCCTGTGCACCCACTCTCACAGCCCTTCGCACACCCAGAGCCATTTGAAAAAACCCACATGGTCACAGACCTCTGTGTACAGACAACTCTGCATACAGCATCAGACCCATGTGTTTTCACAATTGTATAGACACACACACACACACGCACAATGCTCTGACAGTCACACCAAGTGGTATACTATATCTTTGTACCCCAACACAGTATGAGGAAAGGTTCTTGCACACTCCGGCACACACTGTGCTTACAGATACTAATGGGGACTTCTCACCTCCTCTGCAGCCTCCCAGTGGGGAGGGAACAGGACAGGAGGAGAGCAGCCAGAAGAGTCCAAAAGGACTCTGCCCAGCTCATCTCCACAGACCCTCCCCACCAAGCTTGGAAACTCCCTGGACTTCCCAGAGGTCAGCCAACCAGAACAGGGGCGGACCTCCTTGGCCAGCTCCCTGAGGCTCTAGCCCAATTGCTCTATCATCCAGCCAAGGAGCCACCCCCACCCCCAGCATGTCCACTCTGTGATCAGATCCCTCCTGATCCCTCTGGATCCCTCCAGCCAACTTCTGCAGTGGGGTCTGGGCTTCAGTGTCTCATGTCAGCTATGCTTGGGCCCCAGTGGTCTGTAGGGTTGGGATGCTCGGGAGAACCCAGGGCATCATACATGCTAAGTGTACCCCATCCCCCCTCTGAAGACCTTCCTAAGAGTCTTCCACAGCAATAGAGACATAGAGGGCAGGCTCAGTCCTGGGTACTTACTTTGAAAAGAAAAGCCCAGCCTACAAGAGCAGATAAGGAAAGACATGCCAGGCATGGTGGTGTGTGCCTGTAATCCCAGCACTCTGGTGATCGAGGCAGGGGAATTGCTGCAAGTTCCAGACCAGCCTGGTGTACATAGGGAGTTATAGGCCAGCTGACTTGGTCTACACAGCAAGTACCAGGGTTACAGAGGAAGATAGAGTAAAATGGGAGGGGGGGTCACAGTTAAGTGTTTGTCATGCAAACATAAGGAAAGGACCTGAGTTCAATCCTAAGTAAAAGCCAGGTGCAGCAGCTTCCCCATCCATGATCCTAGCACTGGGAAGGGGACAACAGGTGGATCCCTGGAACTTTCCAGCCAGCTAGCCTAGCCAATCAGTGAGCTCTAGACTCAGTAAGAGACTGTCTCAGAAAATAAGGTCGAGAGAGGTTGAAGAAGACACCCTGCATTGACCTCTGGCCTCCACAGGTATACACAAACACACCCACACAAACACATACATACACCACTCACATGCACATAGAGAAGTTGACAGATGTAAGGTACAGGGAAGGCTCCACCTGCTCCATCACACTGGGGCTCCAAAGGTAGGAGCCTCTCCTTCTGCTGGGGTCCCCAGAGTCATGCTCCAGACTGGAACATGGCAGACACTGACTCCAGGGATCTTCATATCCTCCCCTGCACCCCCTCGTCCAGCCCTGGGCCGAGCTCAGCAGGAAGACCGTGGTTCTAACCTCTGGTTTCCAGGGACCATTCAAACTCTAGCTGTAGCCACTCAAGCCAAGCACAGCTCAGCTCTGTCTGCTGGCCAGAAATGAATGTGCTGGAGGGTAGGGGTGCTTTCTGGGGAGCAGAGTCATCACTGCAGATGCTAGAACTAAGGTGAGATGCCAGGACAGGGCTTATGGGCCTGGGGGAGAATGCTGAGGGGCTGGTATGAAAGAGGAGCTAAGGGTCCTATCTGCAGTCAAGAGAAACACCACTCAGCTTCCTGGTCCAAGATTCTCAACTCCTGCTTCAACTCCCAGACTGCAACAATGAGGAAGT